CAATACAAGAAGCAGTGTCGACATACAGAGAGGCAAAGCAGATATTCAAGGATTTGAATATGAATTTACGTGACTTTTTTCAAATGACAAGGACTTTCTACAGCAAATTCCATAAAAGGATAAGGCATCAAGTAGTCTACAAAAGGTTTTAGGAATTCCATGACGTTCCACAGAATACAAACTCCTTATCTCATGCAGATATCCTACAAAATCAAAACTAACTAAACGAACAATCGCCGAACAGGTAGCTGCTATATACGATCCTATGGGCTGGCTCACGCCACTCACATTAAGAGCGAAGCAATTCCTTCAAAGCCTCTGGAACTTCAACTGTACGTGGGACAATTTCCTGTCAAAAAACACAAAAACAAGTGGGAGAAGGTTGTTGATAATTTTAACGGGTTCGAAACCTTTATTCCACGAAAAATAGCCCAGATCGGAGCTTCAACGAGACTAATTCACCTCGCGGATGCTAGCAAACACTGCATGGCCACTTGTGCCTACATGGTTGCCAATGGCGATTCACAACTGCTCGCAGGAAAGTCAAAATTACCATCAGTCAAGGATAGCCCTACAATTCCTAAACTGGAACTAAATGCGTTAACATTGGTAGCACGATTAGCGCATTCAATATATACAGCGCTAAACAACCTCACTTCTATCACAAATATAACTACACTCTCGTACTCAAAAATCGCTCTCAATTGGATACGGTCTAACGAGGCACACAATTCAGCAGGGGTGTTGGTAAAAAACCGCATGAGGGAAATACGCAGAATAGTGGAAAATATACCAACACTTGTACAATTTGGAAACATAGCCACTGATCGAAATGCCGCTGATTGCGCTACAAGAGGACTAAACAAAATCGAATTAAAAGACCACATATGGTGAAAAGGATTGGCATTCATCAAGGAACTACACTCACAAAATGATCAACGCCTTTTTACCTTAGAGTAAAAACGTACACAAAAGGCACAGGTATACACAGCTACAGCAATAGCCACCACACCCGTCGAAGAATTACTGGACAGGAAGCGATTCAATAGACTTGGAAGAGCAAAAAGAACGACCACATATGTCTTCAGATTCATCAGCAGATCCAGCTCCAAACTACGGAAGGAAATGCGCAGCCGAATATACAAGAATATCCCGGAGCTCCAGGCAATGTCAGCGGAAACGTACGTTACGGCCATAGAGCAAGAAGCAGCCTTACGAGTTTTGATACGAAACCACCAAACATTTCATTTTTTTTCACGATCGATAAAAGATTACAAGCATTTGAAACCATATCAGGATAAATGAGGACTCATTCGGTGCAAAGGCAGATTAAATATAGCAGACCTGCCACGTGAAACTCAGCAACCTATTCTAATCAGCTCAAAAACAGCACTAGCAGAATTAATAGTTGTCGAGGCACATCTCCTATTCCATAATGCAACAAGCCATACCATACCCAAGGCACGTGAAAGATTCTGGATGACAAGCATAAGGCAAATTGCTAAGAAAGTTATAAGACGATGCCTACCCTGTCAAAAGATGAACAGTCTCCTTTACAACCACAACGTTGCTGAGATATTTGCAAACCTCTGGACCGCAGGTGTCTATGGTGGGAACGAACGCGCAGATCCTCTCGTTGCCATTGTACTTGCTAGTGACGGGTCGTTACTAACGGGAAGAATTGTGTCTTGCAGAATTTGTTTGCTTAGTAGGAAATTAGATGCATTATCAAAGGTGATAGTTTTGAGCACTCCTCGTTTAGCGAAAAATCTCCTTAAAGCTAGCAGGAAATCATTCGTCGTCACGTTCTGTACGAGTTCTAAATGAAGTAGTCTGGTTGTCGCACATGTTATGATGATGCCGTAGACCTCTGACGTTCCCTCACTATTTTTCGCTGTTAGTGGTCTGAAATAGTCCACACCTACATGCTCAAACGGTCGCGATCTTTTCACTCTTCTTTCCGATAGGCCGTCCATAGGCGGATAATTGTAAAGGAGACTCAATGTTTAACGTTTTGTTTTCTGCCTTCTATAACATGGAGGACAATTACGCCGTATGCTCCGTGGTAGGGAGCATTTTACGAGCGTCTTATGAAGTCAGTCAAGTACACTCTATACAGAGTATTGCAAAAGACAAAATTCCAACAACGGAAGAATTGGAAACCCTGTTAGTAGAAATAGAGAGAAATCTTAACAGTCGACCTCTCATATACCAAGAAGAAGGCCCCGATAACTTTGTTACCTTGCCACCAATAGACTTTATCCAGCGTGACATGATAATAACATATCCATTTAAATTCAGCAGAGAAGAGGAAGATGATGAAACGTATCTACCACCCCAAGAAGCAGTATTACTACGCACGCGAAAGGAAGTGCAGGATGCCCTTGCATCAAGTCACAAACTGACAGAGCATTACTGGAACATTTGGAGCCGAGAATACTTGAAAAGTCTCCGAGAAACTCACAAACTCAATATAAATGACAAACGAGGCACTCGAATAAACCCAACCATAGGGACGGTGGTACTAATTCATGATCCAGCTTTGCCACGAAACGCGTGGAAAATGGCGCGCATCATCGACTTGAATCAGACAGAAACGGGTGCAATCCGAGAAGCACAACTCAAGTTACCGTGTGGACATATCGCAAGAAGACCAATTAACTTGCTAATTCCACTTGAGCTGAAAGACAGCCCGGCAGAGAAACGGTCCGACACAAATGGTGAAAAGGAGTCGGAAACGGGAAGTATTCCCAAAACCGGAATGAAAAACTCCACTCGGCCCAAACCAAAGAGGTAGTCCATGGCCCAAAATAATACATCAAGCCTAAATGAGGTTTTTTTAAAGCAAGCCTTCATATTGAGTGATAAAACTTGCGATAATAAGAGGTGCTTACGAAAAAATGCTTTTGAAAAATCTGCATCAGTTATTGACTTTCCACCCAACACACTACGCCGTCTGCTAGACCACAACCGCCTCTGTGATCATGTGCAGCTCAGAAAATTGTGCAATCTGTTCTAACAGAAGACAAGGGGGTTGCATGAGTTTAACGATAATGTGCTTGATCTCATTTAAGCGATGAGGTGAAGAATAGATTGGTGAAAGTGATAGACCATTTTGTATCAGCACATCTGGATAGTAAAATTAAAATTCGCCAAAGCACTCCTCTAGGTCCACATAGGGCACAAAAGCACAACAGTGACAATTTTGAACTGACTGTCCGAATCCTAGAGTAGAAGTCAAAAAACCAATGCGCGAGACTGTGAGACCATTTCCGCCTTCTATAATTGCACTAGGCAGGAAATGAAAAATTAACGATGAAAGGTTCTATGTTTTCCGATCGTCCATAATCACACGTTTTCTCATTTTTCCCATAGCGAGTTTACGAAACCGCTTGGCTACACGGAACTTATACTATACCTTGCTTTTTATGATGTCAGATACACCCATAACGGCTATCATATCACTTTCACGTGTTTTTGGAATCGACTGTCGGTAGGAAGAATAACTTTCTATGTGATTGAGCTAACACGAGCTCGGTGCAAAACTTTTATTGAATTAATATTTCGGCGCCTTCGTTTTCCACAGAGCCGCGACAGTCCGCGTCGACGCCCATAGATGGTCATAGTCGTGATGTGGTTGTTCGCCTTTTAGTTAAGTTTTTTTTTATTTAAGTTTAGTTTCAAATTTTTAGAATTTTTAGATCTCAGTTTTCAATGATGCTGAGATATTTGCAAAACTCCGGACCTTCTCAGTTTTGTTTGTACAACTTTCTAAACCGCCATTTTACCTGTCCTCCCAACGGCTTACCGCCTCGTCGTGGTTGCGAGTTGTTCCTGGGTGTCGGACTTCGATGTAGAGCGAGGGATTCATCTTTTTGCAGGGTCTTACAATCTGAGAAGAAGTGCGGCGTTTTCATCAGAAAGCCTATCTAAGAGTAAATCAACACCAGGGTCCGCCACCGTCCTGGTATCAGAAAAGTCACGTGGTGGCAAATCTCCCTCTGATCCACAAGGGCTATGGTTACCTGTGGTGGTGATGACCTGTGGCAGACTTTGGCCAGGCTGATTTCGGGATTTTAGGAAACCACAGTGTCTTAATCAGGAAATCTATAAAGATTATGCTGGGGCCCGCACAACCAGTGAGGACGGGCCATTCAAGTGTCAAGTGTGTATTTAACGGTAATTGTCCTTTAGAACTGGCAAGAAAACGCCCTCATTCATTAGTTAGAAAATTTTTTTCCTAAATCCTAACTACATCACGACGGCTTAAAAGTTAGCTTCTGTGAATACGCTGCAGTGGTGACCAAAATATAACGTTCTAGAACGATTCTGTCCATAACCTTTGACGAAGCATTTCCTAAAATAGTAAAACAACAGGCACATTTCTAGTGCTGAGACAATAGTTTACCACAGTTTGCCAAAACTGACATTGAGGTATCGCAATTAGAGCTTGCGAGAAGAATCTTTTTTGAAAATCTTTCGAAAAAAAATCGAAGAGAATTTCTCTATGAAAAGGATTTGAAGTCCGTTTCCGAACTGAGAGCGTAGGTAGGCATCCATGAAGGATTCGAATATGGATAAGGTTAAGGACAACGTAGTGGTTTCATTCCAGAATTTCCACAACTGGAAGCGGTGCAGATCTCTGCCGGGAGTATGCATGGATGTCTCCCTACGCAAATTCGTTTGGACTATTTTTTATTAAAATTTATCTACTTGGAACGTCAGTGACTGAATTCTAATGCACTGCATGCACTTTTGCTGAAAGCAGAGCTACATGAAAAAATTTCTGGGTACTTCGGTGAACAGAAAGAATGCAACAAAACCGCTACTGGTATGTTTGTTGCCGGAAAGAGGAATAAATTGGTAGTCTACGCAATTTTTGTTTTGTCGATATGTTTATCCGAATGCTAAAAGGTTTCCTAAGAGATCGAGCAAGAGCGACTCCCAACTGGAACCGTGTTAACTTTGGTGCTTTTTCTTATCCGTTAGCTCAGACTATCCGACTTCGTACTGCGTCACATTGATACTGCAAGGAGAGAACTGTGGCAAAACTGTACGCCTTACAGCGATTCGTTTGCATCGACGCGGAACTGCCGAGACATAGACTGCTTATTCAGCTTTGTTCTGCGTGAATGAAGTTCTCGTCAAATGCAGATGGCGCCTACCGTGCTTTCAATTTGTCACACGCCAAACAGAAA